ACTCTGTCTCTCTCTCTCTTATGAAAGGTCACAGAGAATACACTCTTCCCCTAGCAACAAAAATGTAGCAACATATGCACAATGTTTCTGCCCAGAGAAGCCTAGCAAAGACTTGAGACCCAAGGTGTTTAATTGGAGGCTGGTCACACAGGCACCCCATCCTTAACACATACCCCAAATTTCAGCTCCCAGAAGAAAAGCAGATGTTCAGCATAAATCATACTGTTTGCATAGTTTAGGTCCAATGAGCCACCTTTATCAGTCAGGGAACAGTGGGAACACTCCCAAAATCCAAGTTCCCAAATGCCAGCTAAGGGTCAACCTTGCAAACAGGCATTTCTAAGAATAGCAGTCTCAGGCCTGCTGTGGTAACTTTTCTGCATAGGCGTGAAAAACGAAGATCTCACAACCACCATCCGATGAAAACAAATCCTTGGGGGAAAGAGGAAGAGGACTAAGAGACTCTGGAAAAGGCTCAGCAGGGTTTCAGGATCAAGGGGACACTGGGAGGTTTGGTTCTCAAGTCAGAAGTCTACTGATACCCATGACCCTGGCAAGTTGGACTGGTTCAAGGAACAGACTTAGGGCCAGTTAGGCCTGATCACTCTGAAGTGGTCCCAGGACCATTGGCTTTACCACCATCATGGCCTTGGACTCTCCAGCCCTCCAAGTGAAAGTAAACCCTTGATGCTTTGCTAGAATCAGCATGTCTTTCGAGGAGAGGCAAAAGGAAGGAGAAAAGAAATACAAAGGTTCTTAGACTTTTATCTTTTGCCCCTGGCATTCAAGAAAGAATCCTCACAGATGAACAGATACTGAAATGGGCAACACCAAGAACAGAGCTCATGACATACCCCTGAAATACTTACTAGCCCAGCTGTTCTTATTATAAGCCCAGATGTGATAGTCAAAGAAGTAACCTTGAGAAATAAACCCTAAGCAGGAAGACCCTAATTTAGTCCTTTTCTGTACTGCAAACGCTTAGTAAGAATTTCCTTCTATCTCATGGCAAGGTGGAAGGATCTGTTTGCTGTCCCAGCTCTTTCTGGAACCAGTAACCACCACAAATCAACTAGAGCATATTTGAAAAACGAGTGGAAGGGATGTCTTTTTTTCCCAGAACAAAACATTTCTGTTATGTAAGAACTGTTTAACTTTGACTAGTGAGTTATAAAACATATCTTTACAGTACAGGACTCAAAGTGCACGTGGGAAAACAGTTAAGGACCCCGGGGCTACTTGGAATTTCTGAGACGTCCTACCTTCTCTGCCCCTTTCCTTTTACCCTCCCTTCTTCCTTTTCTCTTCGCTACTTTCACCCATCAGCTTCCTCCTTCTTTTCCCTCCTTCCTATTGCTCCCATCTCCCCAAACAATTAGAAACTGACTGTAGTTTCAAAGGATTCAAATAACTCAAAAAAACTGTTTTCTTTTACAATTTTATTTCTCTGATTACCCAAATGTAAGATATTATCTCAGTAACAGATTACTTCTAATAAAAATTCCTACCTGTTTGCATATACATTTACCTGCATCTTGCACATTAATAATTTGATTTCAAAATTACCTTCAGTAAATATCAATTCAGGAACATCAATAAATTCTCTCTGCTAAATTGTACCTTTAGCCCTATGAAAAAATAGATAGTAAATTCTTATTTAGTAGCAGCCTTTCAAAATCTTCAAAGCTCTGCCTTAACTATCAGGCAGTCACATGGGGAAACAGTTTCCCGGAATCAGACTCAGTAGTCCCATTGATTGGCTTGGCTTCCATGTAGGAAACATTCCTGGCAGAGATCACACAGGGAGGGACCTTTCATCTAACTCTCCAGGTTTAATCTTCACAAAGAGTCAGGTTATCTTGAATCCAAGTAAGTCAACTTAGAGACAAGCACAACAGATGAACCATTAGCAGGCTAAGCCTGCCTCCAAGACGATAATTATCTTCCATTTAATTTGCCTTCCATTGAGACCGGATTTTGTTAAGACTAAAATAGAAGTTCTCTTTGAAAAGCTTAAAAATCAATTCTTTCAAAAAATTAAAAAATTAGTTTGATATCAAACAACATAAATCGACTCTAGAAAGAATAACAATCCTATGCAGGTGAGGCCTTCCCCCAACCATGGTGGGTACTATGTAAAGGTGATTATCTCAGAGGTGAGCATCAGAGAGTATGAGGGGACACTCAGATCTATGTCAGCTGAGAAAGAACCAGGGATATTAATCCGCGGAAGCAAAGCTCAGAGGCCAAGTAGAGAGAGCAGGGCATGAGGGTCAACTCAGATAGTGAAAGGTTTGTCACGTGGTGGAGCAAATCTACATGGCCTGAAGGGCTCAAATGGAACAACTGAGTGGGAAGAAATAACAGTTCAATCATAATAAAAAAGAACTCAAAACAACCAGAATTCTCAAGGATGAACTGGGCTACTTTGAAGGGTAAGGAGTTTCCTGTCACCAAAGGTGTTCAAGTCTTTGATAGATTCATTCAACATTCTGCATTCCTTTATCAAATATTTACTCTGGAGGCCCGACACTGGCTACACAGGTGAAAGAAATAGTCATAGTCCCTTCTCTCATCCAGCCTAGAGTCGGCCCGGGTGGTTTGGTGAGATGTACAGAGGGGACTCAAACATGCACCCAGGAAGGACCTGTGAAGTTTTTCCTAATCTCAAGAAACTGATTCTATGAAATAAAAGCCCTGGGTTTTTCTACATTTGGAGAGCCTAAAATGTTTTTTCTTAACAAGAATGAGCCAGCCAAATTAATAACCCTTAGCTATGAAACAGCTTACAGCTAGATTAAAGAATACTTGGGATAGTATTGGGATCAAGGCATTAAAGTTGTAAGTGTGAGTCTCCAAAGTACATTAATGAAGAAGAATGAACCCATTTTCCTAAATTGAGCTATTTAGAATCAACCTTTTCCTCTTGGCTACAGTTCTTATAACTTAGAGTTATATATATTTTATGGCTAGAAGATATTTTTCCTTTGGAAAAATGGAACAGCAGTGTTTTGTAATTAAGAAAGAAACACAAGGCTGGTATATATTGAAGAAACATACTAAAAAGGATTTTTTTTTAATGGTTAGCATTTAGTCTCAGAATTAAATTCCTTAATGCACAAAGCTGATTAAGTACAATCTATTCTTGCCTATTAATTGTAATTAATGAAGTTCACTTTCTAGCCACTTTCATAATCAGCACATTTCAAAACATGATCACGTTACCTTAATCTGAATTTAACAACTGTGATCTTAGACTTGAATCACAGGCCCCTTGGAGTGTGCCGAGCTTGACAGGAGGCAGAGGAGAGGGCTCTGGGAAATTCCAGGGTGTTAGCCTCCCTGGGCCTCCCAGCGTGGCTCCAGGCAACACAGAACTCATAAACACAGCTTCATGGAACATAAACTGCCATTAACAAAAGCTTATTTCATTCCTTTTTTTTTTAAGCTTTTTTTTATTGCTAAGACTAATCCAAAAAGATCTATTAGCAAGCTACATGTTAATCAATGCTAGAAATTTAAGAGAGAAAAAAGAACAACGTCAGGGACTGAAAAGTCAAAAGCAGCAGGAGAGAACCTGCTACAGCACTCAGTTTCCAAAACATAAAGGAATGTTTTATGGAAACTTCTGGATAAAAATCTGCTTTACCTAGCACTTAAACAGAAAAGTTTACTATCAACTAGAACAATGATACTTTACATTATTATACAGTTTTCTTTTTTTGGGGGGGAAGACTAGCCCTGAGCTAACTACTGCCAATCCTCCTCTTTTTGCTGAGGAAGACTGGCCCTGAGCTAACATCCATGTCCAGCTTCCTCTACTTTATATGTGGGACGCCTACCACAGCATAGCTTTTTGCCAAGCGGTGCCATCTCTGTACCCAGGATCCGACCCGGTAAACCCCGGGCCGCCAAGAAGTGGAATGTGCGAACTTAACTGCCGCGCCACTGGGCAGGTCCCTACAGTTTTCTAACCATATGTCTTGAGTAGCCCATTATCTCTGCTACTGGTTAAATACCAAAGTAACCTTTATGACCCCGGGTCATACTCGGGGTCAGACATTCTTACCCCAGCAGGTGATACAAATGTGTAAATCATAGAAGTAAGATACAAAGAAAGATAGAAGTAAGGACGGACCATGGAGCCAAGAGTAAATTAGAAAGTTCACAGTTCATTGTTAGGCTTTCAAATTCTAGCAAAACACACTGGTTGGTCGTATTTAGCTGAGGGTCACTATTTCATGACTGCTGAACTAGTCATAGGGAAAATCAGAAGCGTAGGTGGGGTCCCTGAATCAGGTTTGAGGCCTCACCCTCTTCCAGTATTGGCACTCCCCTCCAGCACTTTCAATAGCATCCAGCCTTTTCAAGTATCTGTGGGGCTTCTGCCAACATCCCCACTGGGGCTCAAGGCTGTCTCTGTGCCTTCCTGTTTCCCCACCACAAGTGGAAAGAAGTCTTTTCTCCAAGTGTGACAGTTCTTTCAGCCAACTGAGGAGGCCTGGCTTCATAAGCAATAGGCCTTCTAATCACAAACTTACCGGTAAGGAGTCGGAGGGGTGGCTGAGCTAGGGGGCCTTGGGAAATACTGCCTTGGAAAATATTCTCAGCATTCTCCTCAAAAGAGATGATTCCCCTATCTCCAGGTAGGGTCTCTGCCACTTGAGAACTCAGTCCAGGGTTCTGGAAATGGGACAATCTTCATCATTTTCTTCTTTGAGACATAATCTCTTTGGCATATAGATCCACAATCCCCTACCAGCAATTCTGAGATAGAAATAGCTCTGAAGGGCTGGCCCGGTGGCGCAGCTGTTAAGTTTGCACGTTCCGCTTCGGTGGCCCGGGGTTTGCTCGTTCAGATCCCAGGTGTGGACATGGCGCTGCTTGGCAAGCCATGCTGTGGCAAGTGTCCCACATATAAAGTAGAGGAAGATGGGTAAGGATGTTAGCTCAGAGCCAGTCTTCCTCAGCAAAAAGAGGAGGATTGGCAGCAGATGTTAGCTCAGGGCTAATCTTCCTCAAAAAGAAAGAAAGAAAGAAAAAGAAATAGCTCTGAAAACAAAGTGACTCTGATAACTTTGCCAGCAGAACCTGAATTGAAGTGATGTCAGGTTCTAAACAATATCTATTCATTTCACTTAGTGGGAATATTCACACCTTTAGCTGAAGAAATATTATTGTGTTGAATTACAAGCTCAATATATCACGCAACATGCAGCATATATGTCATGTTACCTTTCTAAAACCCAAAACTCTCTCTGAATTCCAAAACACATCCGGCCCCACAGGTTTTGGATAAAGGCCTGTGGATCTGTAGTGGCTTCAAAATTAGTTCCAGAGTTTTCCTTCACAATTTTCCTTAGGAAGCTGAAGTAATTATACAGGATGTGTGGCTAAAAGGAGAAGTCCTCATAATTTAGGGAAGAATTTAATGGAAGGAGAGGACTCTTATACAGTCCCCCACAAAGCCCTGGAGAAGACAATATTGACCCCTTAGTGGCGAGTTTCTCATGTCTATGGATACGTTTGACTAATGTTTACCCAGGAAGGAGATGACATAGAGGAAAATTCATGCCTGACTTCAGTGGGGAGTTCACCGTAGGATAAAAAGTGCCTTCACTATATAAACCAGTTTTTAAATGATGCTTCAATTCCCATGCTAACACGGAAAAGTTTGCGCTGGAGTAGCTAAAACAATAGAATTTACAATACGAAGTAAACTTGCTTTTATGACTGAACCTAGGAATCTAAATTCTTTTCACATTACTCCTTATATGAGAAAATATATTCTGCATCCCAAATAATGAAATACAAAATGCCATTTAGAACACAACGCATTTCTAAGTTGGATGTTGCCCATAACATGTAGTATTTCCCTAATTGTCATTTATTGTTCAAGAAATAGTTATTGACCATTTATAATAGGTACTACTAGAAAGAAAGGGCTCGACAAGAGACTATGAACCGGTCCTCACAGAGTTTAGACACCAGGGGTAGAGACAGCAAGAAAAAAAAAGTAACAGGTAAAAGTGAACTCATCTTAATGGAAAATTAAGGATTTGATAAAGTTTCATTTTTCTTGTAATTCTACACATCAGAACTTTCCTATGATGAGTTTCATTTTATTTCAAAGCAGCTTTATATTTCCTGATACAGAGTTTGACACACTAAAAGATTCACCTTGAGTAACATACAAGTCTCCAAAGCTTCACAAAGGTCAGGGAGACTTTCTAATACATATATTTACCCCCCAAGTTCTGCTAATCAGGAAGGGGCGACCTGGAAAAGGACAATTTATAAAGCTCACAGTGGAATGACAGCAGCATTTTCCCAAAAATTAGACATTGAACAATATTTGAATCTTAAAACTATAGAGCTAAAATTTGTCATTAAAAGAAAATCCACAACTTTGCCAAAAGAGGATGGAACGCTAAAGTCCAATAGCCGGAGTCCACACTTTCAGAAAGCTTGTCACAACCTTTTACATACCATACTTTTAAAAGCAATAGATTGGTACTGTTGAGATGCCAAGGTTAAATATTCTGAGTGGAAATCAAAAAACAATAGCTACCTTTCCTGAAATCAGGAAATCTCAGGATTCCACAGTCTCAACTTACCTCAAGGCAATGAAGCCTTAATTTACACAGGTCCTTTTTGTGATGGCAATATTGGATACAGAGGAGAATGTGAAAGGAAACAAAAAGTGTTAAAGGCCTTACTTTTCCTCATGGTTGCTCGTAGGTGGAGTTCAAGGTACCAGTATCAATGGAAATGGGAAGCTGTGGGTAGAAAACACATACTAGGATTACTGGTTGCGTTAGACCAGTGCATCAACCCCATAATACCAAGGATAAAAAGTCAGTCCATGCTTAATATTAATCCCCTAAAGGAACAAAAAAGAAATAACTAATTCCCAAATGGAATCACGGGCATATGTAACTACCCCTGTGCTTTTAGATGTCTAACAGCAAGGAGGAATCCAGGGAGAAATTGCCAGCCTGGGAATCAATAATCAAGATCCTCAAGAGAAGCAGAATAAGGTCTTGGAGGCTTGGATTCTGTACTTGATGGAGTCATTAACTGGGGAAATTTGAAAAAATGTGGAAAATTTGGAAAAAGTCCTTAATTAGGAAAATGAAAGCAAACCACCAGCACTTTGTTCAGTGTTTAGAATTGTTAAGCACTGATCTTGGCACTGAGGGAAGAATTGCAAAAATGTGCAAGAAACCATCTCCATCTCATTGAGGAGACAAGCCTGTATAGATGTAACCGTAAACCGAAAGAGAAGTACTATGGAGCATAATAATAAAAAGTAATCGCTAACACACAAAAAACACTTAGCACACGCCACATTCCATTCTAAAGAACTTTCTATGTTTTAATTCATTTAGTTATCACAACCACTCTATAAGATAGGTACTCTTACTGTCTCCTTTTTCACAGTGAGGAAACTGAAGCTCAGAGAGGTTGAGTAACTTATCCAAGGTCACACACCCCAAAGGGGTAGATCAGAGATTTAAATTCAGGCTCCAGATGCCACTTACTCTTGCCCACCACTCGATATAGCATGTAAAGGATTTTAATGATGGTGGATTACGGGGCAGGATGAGGTGGGAAGATGGAGAGCTGAGTATAGAAAGCTTCTAGGAGGAAATGATAACTGAGATGTGCGTTATGAGATGGATACAATATAACCTCCCTTGCCTCAGTTTCCTTATCTCCAAACAAGTGGGATTGATGAGATTACCTCTAAAATCTCTTTGAATCTTTTAATCACTTTGGAATTCACCTCTTTTGACATCAGGAGAGATAGCACAAAGAGCAAGCTTTGGAAAACAACACAACTTAATTATTAGCTGTGTGATCTTGGGAGAGTTGTTTACCCTTTCTGAACCTTAGTTTCTTCACTGATGCAATGAGACAATCCTCATAGGATTGTTGTAAAGAGTAAATAATCTATGCTAGTCACAGGGCTTGGCACATAGGAGGCAATTAACTAATTTCAGTCTTTCCATTCCCTTTCCTTTTTCTTTAATTGTATATAATCTCAGTTCTTGAATTCACCTATATCTTAGATCATGGTGTAGCTGGCTACACATGAGTAGAGTACCCTTTAGAGGTAGATTGAAAAATAGGATATTTGGGGGGTGTCAAATATTTTCTAAAATATCTGGAAGGTTCTAATTTGCAATACCTCTATTTTATATTAAAATACTGTTTGCTTCTCTTGATCCTTTTGATTATACAATTCAACTAACTTATTAAATAGTCACACGATAAACTCGAGACCACGAGGTGAAGATACATACTATTCATAAGCCATGACTGATACGGCCTAGGAAGCTTTTGAGAGATGCTTCATAGGTTATGCAAAAAGTGTGCAGTTAAAAACTTTGTAATGTTACATACTGAAATAAATATGTGGATGGAAGTGGGCAGAAAAAGTCCTATCCAAAAGTTCTTCTGGCCTAATGTGAAGTTTTATTCTCAAAGATCAAGTAACAACAGAGATAATGAGAGATATATCTATAGAAAAGAGTAAAGAGACAAAGATCATATTGATATCCAAGAGAAAAAAGAGATTAAAAACTTTATGTAAGCAGGTGTTTTCTTTCTTCTGTTACTTTATTAACTCAGAAGATACCTAACAATGGGCTTGCTCTGCTAGCCCCGATCTGAGCCAATTAATCACAACGAGTTAGAGATTGAGAAAGGAAGTTTAATTAGATTAGCCAGCTAATCGGAAGATGGGTGACTTATGTCTCAAAAACCCATCTTCAAGGATTACAGAATCTTGAAGCAGTCACATAGGGAAAATGGGCGGTGAGGAGAGGATCCAGGGATGTCGGTCCCCAGGCATGGATGGGCTCCAGGCATCACATTATTCCATTCTTCTGTCAGTTGTGAGGGATACCTTGTAGGTGTGTTTCCCATCTGTGGTCGGCCTGTTCCTGGAGGGAAACTCACAGAACAAAGTTTTAATTTATCAAGCTATCAGGGAGTACATATGTAAGCAGAGGCCATAAATCAGGAGAGCATGTGAATTTTTTTAGAGCATGTGCAGAGAAGAGAATAGTCACACAGAGGAGGGGCCAGGGCCATTTAGCATAACAAGATGGCCTCACTTTTGCTCACTTACAAGAATAGATTTTTTTTCTTACCAGCTTTAGCTAAAGAGATTTGAGGCTTTTCTTTTCTTTTTACTTTTTTTTTTTTTTGAGGAAGATTAGCCCTCAGCTAACACCTGCCACCAATCCTCCTGAGGAAGGCTGGCCCTGAGCTAACATCTGTGCCCATCTTCCTCTACTTTATATGTGGGACGCCTACCACAGCATGGCTTGCCAAGCGGTGCCATGTCTGCACCCGGGATCGAACCAGCGAACCCCGGGCCGCTGAAGCAGAACGTGCAAAGTTAACCGTTGTGCCACCCAGCCAGCCCCTCTTTTTACTTTTTTAAACTGAAGTTTAATCTAAATATATTTAAATGAACAAATCTTAAGTGTACACTCAATAAATTTTTATATATGCATACACTCTTGTAATCACCACCCAGCTCAATATATATATAGAAAATTTCCAGCACCCCTTTTTTTTTTGAGGAAGATTAGCCCTGAGCTAACATCTGCTGCCAATCCTCCTCTTTTTGCTGAGGAAGATTGGCCCTGAGCTAACATCCGTGCACGTCTTCCTCTACTTTACATGTGTTTTCTGGTGGGAGCTAGAGGCTTTCATTACAAAGCTTACTCATTGGCAGTTTAGTTACCATTAGATACCAAGGCTCTAAGGAATTAGCTCACTGGGTGATAAACTGAAAACCATAGCCTGGAGCTTAAGAGAATCAGCCTTCAGGTTCTTACTTGTAGTAGAGTCAGATGACCTATTTCTTCCTTCTAGAGCAAAGTGATTAAAGAAAGCATCTGGAGAATTAAACCAGATTGTTTACAATCTCAAGGTCAACATAAATGTGACCAATGAGGTCTAAACAAAAATTCTGCCTTATGGTTAGCAAAGTGAAGGGAAATATTAACAATGAGTCACTTAGACTCAAACTCTTGACTGGGTCATGAAGCTATCAACTCTGTGCAAAGAGATGCCTCTGATTTGAGATCAAGGGAGCACAAACTTTAGGTTGTTCTTCAAGTAATTGTTATAATTTGACATGCTAACATACATTTGTTTTTACCCCACTGTTCTGATAACTTTCAGGTTATTTAATAGAAGTTGGGAGCACACTAAGTGACAGAGGGTAGCGTACTGGGCAGTAAGGCAATCAGATCCAAGAGTTTGGCTCATTAGATGCTTTGTCTAAACAAGTGAGCCATTACAATATTTTAGTTTGGTCAATGCTATAGAATGGTTATCAATAAATTTCCCAAACAGGGACACCTTTTGAGAATGAAATGGACTCTCTTATAATTATTTCAGAATAGTAGGACTAAATCAGGACCATCCCTAGCAAACCAGGACATACAGTCACTCTAGCTATCATAGGCCTCCACTCCATAAGCGTTCATATTGATTAACTCTTAATTCCAATGATTCCTTTACTAGTTGAGCAAAAGCTTTTACGGTGGCAAAGACATCTAAGAGAGGAAAAAATCCAAGGACACATGAGAGATCATAGCTGAGATCTAGCAAGTTAAATCTATCAATGCCTCTGATCTAGGGATGCGGCCTTAGCTTCTGACATAAAGAAATCAGCCTGAAGAGGGTCGAGGACTCAGAAGGGAACAGAGGGGACATCTTCTCTAGCTTTAGTAACTCCCTCTATCATATGACATAATACTCTACACACTGTGCCTTGTCATAAATAATGATGCTGATGAACTAAGGGAGAGCGATATCCTCAATTTGTTAAAATATTATCTGGTCAACAATGTGACAATGGTAATTAATAGTTTATATGAATTGAGTACTTACTGTGCACCTGGCATACTGTACCAATTCCTTTATATACATTAGCTCTTTAAATTCCCCAATGGTCCTATAAAATAGATACTACTGCTAGTCCCATTTTTTTCCCCACAGATGAGGAAACTGAGGCTTAGAGGCGGTAAGTCACTCGTCCAAGGTAGAAAGATGCATATTAGGATTCTCAGATCAATCTGACTCTTAACTATTCCCTTATTCTAACCCTCAGCCCCACCCCTCCCCAGTGAGGGCTCTTTTACTGCCAGCACCACCCATTCAACAAGCTCAAACAAGAGAGTTGTTTACTGAAAGGATACCACAGGCAATCCCCTGGACACCAAGGGCAGAAAAGTAAATATGGCAGGACCACCTGGGTGAGGGTATAACTGAGAGGCTAGCAACCAAGACCATTCCCACCAGCTCTCATCATCTGTTTCTTTGTAGTGTCTACTACTAATTTATATAATACTTTTGCAAAATCTAGGGGTTTGGGAGTCTATAGGACCAAGCATTTCCAAGGTCTGAATCTCCCTCTACTAGGTGTCTTATTAAAGAGCTTATTTTATGTTTTTTGATATGGAGGAAAGAGGAACTTTAATTTCATTTCTTTGAACACTACTAAAAATAAAAGTTAAATTCTGATTTTAATTAGTCAGTGATCTTAACACACAGGGAAACACTCCGTTTTCATCTGCTGTGCTTTTAAAAGTAGAAACTAACACAAAGAAGCCCTATAGGAAGAAGGTAAATGCACCTAGCTTCTCAAGTGAATAGATTTCAATAATTGCTTTCGCCTCATGGAATTGATTTAAAGTTGCCATTTTGCAATTAGTAAATGCAACATTTCTGTGTAAAAAGTCCCCCCCTCTTTCTTATAGTTAGTCTATATAAGGCAGAAACTGATATTGCTGTAACCATGAGATCCAGGGTCCTTTCCTTGATGCCAGCATTCTGTTACTTCAATGCTGTATTCCATTATTAGATTCACATTCTGGTACAAAGCACAGTGCTCGGACTAGAGCCCAGTTCTCCTGACTTCCAGCCTAAGCCTTTTTGACAAGTGGTGCAGATGTATGTGGGAGTGAGGGGGACGAGGGGTGAAGGTGGGGAGTGGTGGTGGCTTGTGTGTGATCCAAAACAGAAGAACACAAAGCATCATGTGGCCATCTCCTACCCCTGTCCATCATGTGACATCATGATGTTACTTCGTCCAGGTGTCTAGTTATGATATACGAACGTGATAGTTTTTGACTAAAGTTCTGTGTAAGTATGTTTTGTAAATATCTGTTTATTGAATTCTTTCCCACTCTACTGAAAATTCACTTATAGCAAGCAGATGCTTATTTATTTTCATACTTCTGTAACCCAGAATATAGCCTGGCACACAAAAGGCATCATTTTTTTGATGGTTGGAAAGAAGGAAGGAAGGACAGACAGACAGACAGACTGCACAATTTGCCTCAAATGAAGAGTCTATTTATAAAGTTTCAGCCAAAAAGTAAAAGCAAAGTAAATCTGCTTGAAAGAAATAGAAAAACTTCCTTATTGGCCTGAAATATTTTCTATGTTCCCTTCTCCCTTGTTCTTTTTTTACCAGCTTATTTATTAGATAATTTTAACAGATGAATAGTTCTACATAGAGAAGAGACTGGAAAAAGATAACAAAATGCTAACAGGAATTGTCAAAAAAGAATAATACAATGAAAGTATGTAAAAAAAGAATGAAAATTCAGAAAAAGCCATTAAAAGTGTGCCATATAGGTGATATAAAGAAAAAATGTAACTTGCAGAAACTACTTTAATAATAAATATTAACTGCTTCAAAGCGATGCACTGATTGCACTGCATGGACCTCACTGTCAAAACATTTCACAGGGAGGAAACAGAACACGCCCCAGCAGGGTACGAGGAAGGAGAAAGGCCAGGCCTCTTGCTGATCGTGTGTTCATTAGTTCCCAAAACAAGGAAAGGAAGTAGCTGGATGAATGTTTCTCTAAGAAAATATGAGAGATTCCATAAGTTGAAATTGTTGCCTGTGGATTGTAAACCGCGATTCTTGGACTTGCTCCCGAGCCAGACCATCTGGGAGTCATGGGACCTTTCTGACCTGTTTGAAGCACTTGCTGTCAACCAGCTGACAAGTGATAAGTCGCATGAGCCCAAGGTGTTCCTTTTTAAATTGGGGGATGGGAGGGATTTAAGTTATATTTCTTCTTCATTCACTCTTTTTCCCCCCTCCAAATTTAAAAAAGACCAATATTACTCAACATTAACATTTTACGTCAGGTAGAGTTCCAGAGGAGTATGCTTGAGAACCACTGGATAGAAACAAGCACCCAATGATTCATTCATTCATTCAACACATATTTATTGAGCATCTAACATGAACCAGGCACTGTAGATCCAGTGGCAAACACAACAGACAAGTCCCTTGTTTTTGAGAAGATTCCATTCTTGTGGGAGAGGGCAGATAATAAACAAACGGACAGAGAAGATAATATCTTTATGAGATCATCTCCCACCAAACTTGTCTTCCCTCGTTATATTCCAGGCACAGTGGAGAATAGCGCCTTCCTGCTGTTCCTTGAATATGCCAAATTTGGTCCTGCCTCGAGGCCTTTATCCACGCTCTTCCCTCCCGCTGACGCAAGACTTTGCACTGAGGCCTCACACAGCTTTCTCCCCCCCCACCCCCACTTCCCCAAGTCTCTGCTGAGACGTCACCTCAAAGAGGCTTCCCTGATCTTCCCATGGAGAATAGACCTCCCTTCCTCTCCGTGACTTTCTGCTTTATTTTCTTTCTATCTCTTATCTGTTGAAACTGTTATTCATGTGCTTACTTTTTTTATTTTCAGTCTCTCCCACTAGAATGTAAGAACCATGGCACCAGGGTTTTGCCAATTTTGTTCACCTCTGTATCTCACGCGTTTAGAACAGTGATGTTAGAAAGGCCCATTTGCACACATGCCCAGTGACAAAGTATCTATAGTCAGAGGGCCTAATCTAAGATCTGCACTGTGGTAGCTGGTCTCCAAAGACAGTCTCCGGTGAAATACACTCCTAGTATTCACACCTTGTGTAGTTCTCTTGCCTTGAACCTGGGCTGGCCCTGTGGCTCACCTTTGACCAATAGAATGCAGCAGAGGTGACTGACGTCCAAGGCTATCTCACAGGAATCCTTGGTATCACGGAACACGTGCTCTGGAGGAAGCCAGCCACTAAGTAAAATGTCCAACTATCCTGAGACTGCCATGATGTAAGGAAGCCCAAGCTAGCCATGTGCAGGGCCATGTAGAGAAATTAAAATGCTCAGCTGGTCCCTGGCTGTTGCAGCCATCCCAGCTGAAGCATCAGACTGGGGAATTGCACATCCAGTTCAGTATTGTCTTCAAATGACTCCAGCCCTGGGTCCCATCTGACTGCAGCTGCATGAGAGACCCCAAGTGAGAACCATCCAGCTGAGCCCTGTCAATCCACTGTGGCATGAGAGAAAATAATACATTATTGGTTTAAGCCACCAAGCTTTGAGGTGGTTAGTTATGCAGCAATAGATAACTACAAAATGCGGCCACCACAGATAGCTCCAGATTCATACATTTCTTTCCCCACAAACATTACATGTGTTGAAGGGTCCTTGGGCTCCCCCAACACACACTCTCTTATAAGGCACGTGTCTCTGCCATCAACAAACTCTGTTTTGCACTGTTCACTCTCCTACACCCCAACAACTACCCCCCTGGAAGTCAGGGGAGCTGAGTCTTCGTCCTCATGGGATCACTGTAATTTTGGCCAAGATACTCTCTGAAGCATAGGCTCTTCTCTGAAAAATTATGGTGGGGATTTGATTTTTAAATTTTGTTTAGTGTGTGGCAGGCAATCTTTTCCCCTTCCCTCAGATAGAAACTCACACAGAACGCAAATACATTCCTCTTAACACAGGTGCTAAGCTTAGTTCTTGCCTCATCCCTCAAGAGAGAAAGAGAGTATTTCAGATTTCCCCATCTGCAGTATAACTTGGCTTGGGAAATGCTGGTTCAAAACCATTCTATTTGGGGCCAGCCCGGTGTCACAGTGGTTAAGTTCGCATGTCCCACTTCGACAGCCCGGGGTTTGCTGGTTCTGATCCCGGGTGCGGACATGGCACCCCTTGGCAAGCCGTGCTGTGGTAGCTGTCCCACATATAAGGTAGAGGAAGATGGGCACGGATGTTAGCTCAGGGCCAGTCTTCCTCAGCAAAAAAAGGAGGATTGGAGGCAGATGTTAGCTCAGGGCTAATCTTCCTCAAAACAAAAAGAAAATTCTATTTTTTTTAAAATATTATTTTCAAAGGCCTCTATAGAAGGAGATTGCATAGCCTACGATAGATTCCCATTCCAATGTTTAATGGCTGCATTCATCAGGAAACTTTCCTTCATTTTTGACAGAAATTATTTAATAAAGGTCCCATTCATGTAATGCTCCTCAACCCTCATTCTTATGACTTTTTTTTAACAGTTTTTTTTTTTTTTTTTTTGAGGAACATTAGCTCTGAGCTAACATCCGCCGCCAATCCTCCTCTTTTTACTGAGGAAGATTGTCCCTGAGCTAACATCCATGCCCATCTTTCTCTACTTTATATGTGGGATGCCTGACACAGCATGGCTTGATAAGGGATGCATAGGTCGGCCCCCCGGGATCTGAACCAGTGAACCTCAGGCCACGGAAGCGCAGCACATGAGCTTAACCGCTAGGCCACCGGGCCAGCCTATCTTACAACTTTTTTATGAAGTTTGATAATTAAATTCTTCGGAGTCACTGTATGGCTTTCTTCTGAACTCTCTCAATTTTTTCCCATTTAATTCTCCTTTGGATATTGACTTTCAATTGAAAATAGGAATGGTCTGATGAATGTTCCTAGAATCCTCTGACTTATGACATTGATATATTAAATATTACGCACAGTTAAATTATTACAGAGCTTCCAGGTTACATCTTGATAAGAGAATCAACATCTAAAACATGTCATCAGACAACATGCATAAAATTACAGGAATGTGACAACACTTTACATGTACTTATATTGGCTAATAAATACATCCCCTGACACGTGCTATAAAGTAGGAAACTACCTGAACATACATTGGAACCTTATCTCCACTCACATCTCCAAACTCTGTCCCAGAGACTATGGACAGAAGTGCAGTGTATCTGATCAGTTAAAAAGAGACCAACAGGGGCTGGCCCCGTGGCCGAGCGGTTAAGTTCGCGCACTCTGCTGCAGGCGGCCCAGTGTTTCGTCGGTTCGAATCCTGGGCGCGGACATGGCACTGCTCATCAGACCACGCTGAGGCAGCGTCCCACATGCCACAACTAGAGGAACCCACAACGAAGAATGCACAACTATGCACCGGGGGGGCTTTGGGGAGAAAAAGGAAAAAATAAAATCTTTAAGAAAAAAAAAAAAAAAAAAAAGAGACCAACATTTCATCAGTAGTCTAAGCTGTTGAGTAGAAGCCCTTATCTACTGAAAGGCGCGAGTTAGCCATTTTCTACTGTACCTGCTTGAGTATCGGCTAGAACTCTTCTTTGATATTAGAAACAAGAAATTATGTTCCCAGAAGCTTAGAGGAAGAAAAGTAAAGGGTCTTTTTTTTTTTTTTTTTTTAAGATTTTATTTTTTCCTTTTTCTCCCCAAAGCCCCCCGGTACATAGTTGTGTATTCTTCGTTGTGGGTTCCTCTAGTTGTGGCATGTGGGACGCTGCCTCAGCGTGGTCTGAGGAGCAGTGCCATGTCCGCGCCCAGGATTCGAACCGACGAAACACTGGGCCGCCTGCAGCGGAGCGCGCGAACTTAACCGCTCGGCCACGGGGCCAGCCCCGTAAAGGGTCTTTTATTGGAGCAAAGTCAAGGAGCCCCTTAAAATATATTTTAGCCATAATCTTATGTCTCAATTTTGTCACACTACAATGAAATTTCCCCTATTGTTTATCTGCTGCTGCTTTTTAAATACTGCATTCCATTTTATTGTATACTAGCCCCAAGGATAAACGAATGAGGAAGCTGTTTGACAACATCTTTTAAACCTAAGCGAACGCCACCAGGTAAAATAATGCAGTTTTCTTGCTCCTTTTGAATTCCTCCCCACTCTAGGAAAGCACTATCCGCTATTTTCCCCACCCACCACTACCCTCAGCCCCTCCCCTCCTTTCTCATTTAAGACCACACTATTGGAAGTCTTCAACCCATACACTAAAGAACAAGTTTCAGGGCAACTGCGTGCTTGTTAATTGAGCTGTAAATCCATGCTGGGGAAGCTCTGAACACTTGACCTTACTCATGCATCAAAAGAGGTCTGACCATGGTTTCTAAAAAGGTTTAACACAGAACTACCATATGACCCAGCAATCCCCCTCGTAGGTAGAAACCCAAAAGAACTGAGAGCAGGGACTTGAACAGATATTTGCACATCAACGTTCATAGCAGCATTACTCACAACAGCCAAAAGGTGGAAACAACCCAAGTGTTCACCAATAGATGAAGGGATAAACAAATATGGAATATACATACAATGGAATAGTATTCAGCCATAAAAAAGAACGAAGTCTGATACATGCTACAACTTGGATGGACCTTGAAAACATTATGCTTCAGGAGATAAGCCAGACACAGAAGGAAAAACATCGTATGATTTCACTTATATGAGGTACCTGGAATAGACAAATTTATAGAGACAGAAAGTAAAATAGAGGTTATGATGGGCTTGGAGGAGGGAGGAAGAAGGACTTATTGTTGAACGGGTACAGAGTTTACGTTGGGGATGATAAAAAATGTTTTGGGTATAGATAGTGGTGACGGTTATAGATACTGCGAATGTATTTAATGTCACTGAATTGTACACTTACCAATGGTTAAAATGATAAATATTATGTTATTTATATTTTCCTGAAATAAAAAAAATTACTTGGGGGAGCACAAAAGGTCAGTTCGGCTCTGAGCTCTGAGTGGGGGCGGGTTGGAGGACACCTGAGATTTAAGGAAAGAGTCATTACCCAGAGTTCAGGAGAGTGACGACTTCATCAAATCCCACTCCAGCCCAAGTAAGATGGGGAGCTCCAGGAGGGACTCGAAGGTGAAAGTGTTGGTGATGTCTGCAGGAAGAGCCAGTTATGGACACTGAAGAGACAGCTTCCAAGCTTCCAGGTCACCCAGAGCCTTCCCGACTCCGCCAAGCCAGGCTCCCCCAGTAAGGAGGGTCAGTGGTCAGGAATAAAGAGACAGAGCCCTGACCAGGTCAACTCTCACAGAATTTATGTAAACTTTTTCCCTTTGGCTTATTTGTCAAGTGTCACGAGAGTCAATTTTGGAGCAAGCAGGCTACAAAAAGATGCCTTTGTTCTCTCGGCCTAATGATAGAAGCTCATAAATGGAGTGGGAACAAGAAAACTTTGGAAAGCACTTTCATCTCTAAAATGTTTGAGGTTATTTAGAAGGGTAGGCAGGTGTTTTCTTTTACACACACACACACACACAAACACACACACATATATATAAATACTGTGGTTGTATATTCTTTGTGATTATCCCTAAATCTAAAATTAATTTTTAAAGAAAAAATGAAGGACTTACAGCCCCAGAGCATAGCCTTAGTAATTTTTCCCCAGCCATGTCATGCTCCACCGTTGCGCTTGTAATTGTTTTAAAGCAAAGTTAGGCTTCCAACAATAAGGTTTATATTAGTTTTTCTTATTCTCAACGACTCTGTAACAAATCAGAAAACCACCAACACATACATTATTTGCTATACGAAGTGAATCTTTACAATAATGCCTGCAACATGGTAGCTCTCAAAACTTTGTTAAATGAGTTCATAGATGCTTCAAATGCAAAACTTCAGACAGAACCAGCAAGTTAATACCTCACCCAAAGGCGGGAAGACGAGGCATTCATTTTATTGGTTGAGTGCATTGTAACTAAGTTGCTAATGAGGTTTTGATGAATGCTTCTCCCCCGACAGAACTAGGAAGGGTTAACCAGGTGACCCCCTAAAAGCAACCACCTTTTAGTACCTTTGTTATTGAACTTTAAGCCCTGACCAGGCCGTCCTCAATGAGGCAACATCCTGTCTGAATAATTTAGGCAGGAGCAGAGGCCAGCCCACACAGAGCATCTGTTGAGAGAGAGCCTCCCTCGGTCGTTTCCATTTCCTGTATCTGCAGCCGGCTGCCCATTTTTAAAATCCCCTAGTTAAGTCCGGGTAGAAAAAACCCTCCAGTTTACGAGGAGGCTAAATATATGGTGCCTTGTTAGGCAAATGTTTCACCTGCTCGGCCAATTAGCTTCCTCTCCCAGAAAGACTCGTTCAACAGGTTTCCTTTTTCTCTTCCTCTGCCTCCTGGGTTGGGGCAAGAGGCTGTCACTTCGCTTCGACCCTCCCCTTCCCTCCCTCCCGGCTCTTCCACGCTCGCTCGGCCCAAGCGCTCGGGCTCGAACGTGTCCAGGTCGGCAGGCGTCGCGCTCGGCCGGCCTGGATGCGCCGATCGCCGGGGGCGCAGGGGACGGCGCGGCGTGGCTCCCGGGCCTGCGCCCGGACGGGGAGACCCGAGCGGGAGGAGGGGGAGCGGACTGCAGGCGCGCGGGGGGCTGAAGGTGCCCTGCAGACGCGGCCCTGATGACTGAGCTACAGCAAGATGTGGACGACACAAAGCCTGCCAAAGTGCTCGGGAAGAAAGAGAGCAAAGTTGGCTCAGCCCAGTAAGTAGGCTCCGCTGGGACCCAGCCGGGGCGGCGGAAAGTGCGCTGCTCAAACTTTTCTGCCAGGGACGAGTTTGGAGTGGAAACGGTTTTCTGGAACTTTAACATGGACAGCCCTGAGGCTTGAACTCTTTTCCGTGGCGCCGGGTCTCTTTTCTTCTCAGATTCTGTAGTAAAGAAAAAGCACCGGAGCATTTCAGGAATGTCCTGTAGCTTGCAGTCCGGTGGGGATGTGAATTATTTGAGCTGAAAGCACGATGGGTGTTTTATAATACCCGAGGGAGGTGTGCGGATCTCGAAGCCGTGTCAAGAAACAGCGCTCACATTTATTTCAGTTGTCCTACTTCTTAATGACGTGTGGCTAGATGCTGTTGTCTGGTAGATGTCCTCTGGTCATTAGCTTCACAGTGATGTGTATTTTGTCATTGGATTCCGAGCTTGGGAGTATCTTTCCTCCGTTCCCTTCGCTGTTCCCCTCAAGAGAGAGGAAAAGTAGTGGAAAAAATAGGCTTTATCTTTCGCCTCAAAGACTGCCTGCCTTTGGTTGGGTACTTAACACAAACTTGTTACACACTTATTTTTGAGAGAGGGTGTAAGGGTGGAGTGGGGGAGCACAACTAATATGGATTAAAACACTTCAAATATTGGTGATGACTATCCTCGTATAAGATTCATGTGCATAATAGGATTTTCACATTGTTTGACCTGTAAACTCTTATGGTTTAAGAAACTGAAAACGCAAATATTTTGGTCACAAGGATTAGTTTCCTGTAATGAAACTTATTTATCTTCCCCTGTACTACTTTGGTTTTTTTTTTTTTTAATCCAGAATGACTATTTACATGGTTATTAGTCCCAAACATTCTTCTTTTAGAAAGGAAAAGAATCTTTCAGTATTTGCTTATTTGCTATATCCCTATAACATTAAGTAATAATAAATGTTTAAATATGCCCAGATGTATTTTTTGTGTTACCAAGCTGTTGGGGGTGCTTAAGATGCTGTAGTTATACTAGTATAAACAGATGATAAAATTTTAAATAGTGAAGATTCAATCTCCATCATTCATTATTTCAGCGTTTACTCGTTTTTTAAAACCCAGCCTGGTTCCACATAGTGACTTGTGTTCATAAAAGCATATTCCATCTGTATCTCTGTTGAAGTTTAAGCTAAAGTTTTGGAAGAAGAAGAGCTTTATTAGCTGCTTTGATTTGTTGTTTCAAAGGCTTTGGTCCTGTTGTGTTCCAGTGTCTGCTTTCCTTGGCTGCTCTTTCCTTTGCCCTCCCAGCATGGTCGACTTAAGCTGATGTTCTTTCCTCTATGAGAGATCAAAGATGACAGAAAAAGTTGCTCGAGGTATAACCCTCACAAATGTTTTTGTTTTCTCACCCAAAAATAAAATCCTAACTCTATACTGGTAATTCAAACCCAAGAAAAAGAACTAGCAAATGACATCTATTTCCTTTGCACTTGATCATTCTTGCATATACTTTACTTCTCTGAGGAAGATGTTTTGTGGATGGTCTTACCACCGTTTCATAGATGTTGGAGGTGACAGGAAAACTTGAAACTCCTAGGACAGAACTGATCCAGAGGCAATATTTAGTTCCATTTACACAAAGCTGAATGATTCAAATCCACCCTATAGCTACTCAATTTTAAATCTTCACATTCTCGGTGGTCTAATCTCCTTGGTTAAGGAGATTGTTTTCATTGAGTGGAAAAGTCTGCTAGGGCTTTTAGACTAATTCTATTAACTTAAAACTCTAGATGTTGGGGAAATAGTTTTGTAGAATATAAGCGTAACAACATTGAGGCTCAAGGCCCCAGCCCTTCATTTGGAACAGCCAGTTTCACAAATTTATTTTGGTTCAACAAATATTGGAAAACCTCCTATTTGTTAGTAATAGTGGGGAATACAAGAATGAGTGTGATTTGGTGTCTGCCCTTCTGGAGCTCTAAGAGCGGTGTTAAGAGGAGGCACGTGTATATTACTGTGTTTCAGGGGACATTGGTAGCCATTGCCATATTAAACACACAAACAAGATATTATAAAAAGTTTGGCCTGTAACTGAATCTTCTCCACAATCAGGATGTTTATCCATTTGGCAGTCTTTGGTAAATATCTCTTGGTTTATTGGGTTGTTTGTTTTTCCCTACAAAGTGGTAATTTCCGGGCCTACGGAAGTCACCTCTGATTCTGGCTGAGATTTTAGAAACTCTCTTCTTCTGGGCTCTTAAACTATTGCTTTGATAACAGAATAAGAGTAATTTTAAGACGGAGGTAATTATCACAGTGATATATTAGTGTGATAATTCCATATTTGAAATCATTTTGAGTAGCAAAATTTTTATGCTTAGAAACCCAGTCTAACCTCTGTTTTGAACTTTGTAACTTAGATTAATTATCACCACGCTCCAAGTTGTTGAAGTCCAGGTGTCCCTTCTTCTGAGTATTAGAATGGCTTGCTCCTCCCCATTTCCCTGGGTCTGTAACTACACCCACATAGGCGTCACCCCCAGAAGCTGGACTCCTCATTAATAAGGGCTGGCATTTATTGAGAATGCTTGTTATGTGACAGGCAGTGTGCTCAATACTTTACAATTACTCTACAGAATGAGGTAGATTCTGTCATGATCTCCATTTTACAAATAAGAACATTGAAGCTCAGAGAAGTTAAGCAACTAGGCAGAGATACAGTTAATAAGAGAACAGCTCAAGTTCAAGTCCAGGACTCTTAACTCTAGAGCCTGGGCGCGAATACTTCATCTTTACTCCTCTACTCCATAATCTATGATTGCCCCTTCATGACCTACTCTAAAAAACAGGCCTCTCTGCCAAGAACTTGAAACTTTTAATGATCTGGACACACATGGACCATTTCAACCTCATTTCCTAATCCTAGCCAGCATGGGCATCTTTTATAGCCAACCAATCATACTAGCAGCCCTAGACCCAAGAGGTGATAATACGGATGAATAAGGAACAGGTGTGCCAAACATAGGACTAAATGAAGTTCCCTTCATTCTTCCCTCCTCATCTCTATTACTTTGCTTAAGCAGTTCCCTCTCTCATTTCTCTTAGTGTATTTCTAAAAATCAGCTCAGGTTTTCCTTCATTTAAAGTCTTCCCTCATCACCGGCCGTGCTCATCTCTTCCTTATCAGTGCTCGCCTTGTATGTATGGGTCAGCCCCATAGAATTTAGCTGCTGCCATTATTACTATTAATTAATAACTTTTATTGAATGTTTAATATATACAAATTGCTGTTTTAAGTTGTTAATGTATATTAACTCACACACTAGTCCTGTGTATATTAGTTAACTTTCCCCTAAGTAGATTGCAAACTGCAATCACAACTTTCCTCATTGAAATTCTCAAAGCGCCCAACAGTCACTTTCAATAACCATCTGTTGGTGATCTGAGACCCCAATCCCTCTAATTAAGGTATATAATATGCTTATAGCTGACATTCATTCTCAGGGGAAATTCTACTCTTTTAAAATTTCTTAATCAAATTTGCTATCAGTAGCAGTTAGAATTTTTAGGTGCATTTACTTGCCTGAAAGCTGAGGTTTACGTATTCATCTTTATGCTAGAAGTGAGGCTGCAGATTTATTCATTACCAAAGTGCATATTTGATTAAAAAATACAACCTACTCCTTTCCTAACCAAGAACTGGTAATTTAGCTCTGTGTTTCCTTTTGAGATCCTGGTTTTCCCCCACTCTCAGTACCTTTTTCATTCTGAATTTTATGTTCCCAATATAGACAGTTCTAACATAGCTTCACTTTTTGGCACACATTTTATGAGATACACTTTTTTTCTTAAAGTCTCTTGTGGATCTAATTTAGTAATGGCCACGTTACTTTTAATGAATTTCAAAAAGTATCTAAAACTATTTCTGGGCAAAAGTTATCTTGATTCATATTTCATATAATTACATCACATGTGACATAGATTTATTTATAATGCAATTTGAATTTTTAACATTTAACTTTTAATTACTTGGGACATAAAATTTCTAGAAATTTATTCAACTCTGTATGTGGAGAAAAAGAGGGTGAATGTGGGCAATATAAACATTTACCTTAAAAGGGAGCTCTCTAGTAGTATCAAGAAATAATAATGATTTTAGGGACATATTTTGACTTTAAATGGTGACGGCAAGAAAAAATAGATTGCCTGCAGTGAAAACATTTATCATTCAACTATATGTCTTTGTGCATGGCGTATTGGGGATACTTGACAAGCAGAATAAGAGCTGAAGTTGGGAATTGATCTTGGATTGGAAGCAAGAGGAGCAAAGACAAATATTTATTGAACATAACTTGATTTCTTAGTGCTTGCTTAACTCCTAACTTTGAAAGTTTCCGTTTAGCAAGAGAATCTCTATATTGCATATGTATTATCTTTCCATATGTTTGTATGTACACATACTTTTTCGTTTTTTGTTGTTTTTTTTTTTTTTGAGGAAGATTAGCCCTGAGCCAACATCTGCTACCAATCCTCCTCTTTTTGCTGAGGAAAACTGGCCCTGAGCTAACATCCGTGCCCATCTTCCTCCATTTTATATGTGGGATGCCTGCCACAGCATGGCTTGCCAAATGGTGCCATGTCCTCACCCAGGATCCAAACCGGCAAACCCCGGGCCGCCAAAGCGGAATGTGCACACTTAACCACTGCGCCACCAGGCTGGCCCCCATATTTTTTTCTTTTGTAATTTTAATGTCCAGGTTACTAAATCTGACAGATTGCCTAGTGCATTTTTCCATATAAATTTTTGGAATAGGAAGAAAAAATTATAATGTGTTAGAAAATATAAAAATTAAAACAATGGAGAGGTTTGAAAAGATGGAGAGAAATAAACAGTGTGTTCTGATTTAAATGTTTTGGAAGAAAATTTAATGAACCAAATTGGCTGTAAGACTAGAGGTTAATATCACATGAAATTGCTGATTTGTCAAGGCAGTACGTAAAGTGGGTAAGAATGCAGGTTCT